CCCTCTCTCGGGCAGCGGCAGTACGAGCGACAGCCCCGGCAGCAGAGCACCGGCAGCAGAGCTAGCTGCAGCCGCAGCCGCAGCCCTGACTCCAGATCTATTTATTCACCCAGTGATGAAGGTCGCAGCCACAGCCACGCTCTAACGGGAGACGGTCGTGGATGAAGCCACGTTGATGAAAGTACCTGTGGCCTGGAGTGGTGACAGTGACTGCAGCGCTGGTGCAAAAGGTGCCCACGGCAGTGCAGTTGTAGCAGTAGCTGCTGGAGGTGGGGGCGGGGGGTGTGGGGGGGCAGTGGCCCAGGACACTGAATGACCAGAGTGGCTGATGAAGGCCACCTGGATCCGTTTGCTGAAAAGAGCCAAAGGAGGACGTGTGAAGAGCTCCGATGTCTGCGTAAGAAGATCTTATTTGTGTTGACGTTGTGAAAGTTGTGTGTTTTGTGTCCGTGTGTGTGTGTGTGTGGATCCACCTCCATCGTCCACACGTCCATTCATGGGGTCAGGGGTCGTCGTGTGAGGCGCGTGAAGCTGAACGTTGTTATCAGTTACTGCAGGTCAACGGTCTCTGACCCCTGGACCTGACCCGGTCCAGGTCTGTTGTCCTGGACATCGTGAGGCCATGAGACAGAGACTAATGACCAGTTCAAGTCCAACTAGGATTTACAGTTTGATGTTAAATATCTAAACCTTAAATGTTGTTATATTATACAATAGAGTCGAGGCAGCCGTATTTTAAAAAGAAAACAAACATTTAGATCAACCCTGTAGATCAGTGAACGTCGCCTTCAGCAGGTGATGTTTCTGGAGACAAAGGGATGATCCGTGATTATTGGGGAGTTCTAATCATGGAGCGAGGGAGGCTATTTATAACTCAGACGGCTGAGGAGTGTGCAGTGGTGCAGTGGGATGAATGGAAGACCTCGTGTGTTGACGCTGTCTGTGTGCAGGTGAGGACAGAGACCACGGGACAGTGGCTGAAATTTGGGTTTAAAACCGTCTCTAACTCTGATGTTTTGTTGATGTTCACAGTCGTCAGGAGGAGTTCTTATCTTTGATCCATGTCTGATATTTTCATTTCAAACACTGCACCAACCGTGCCTTCGTTGTGTGTTCAGAAGTCTGGTTTCTCATCTTAAAAATACTGTTTGGTTTCAGCAGAGCGTTTAAAAATAAACACGTTGTGGACGAATAATTACTATCAAACTGATTTGGTAAAGTGAGTGACAATGAAGGGAGATGGAACAGTTTATCCTTAAGATCTTTAGGATCCTTAGGAATTTAAATATAAAATATAAATCTATGAATTAAATATAAGAATAATTATTATGCGAGAGGCTAATCCAAACGTGCTGCAGCTAATTTGAACCTGTAGGGTTCAGCGCTCTGCGTCTTTGCGTCGTACTCTGTGCTGTGATCTATAAAGTGGTGACGTGTCGACTTCACCGATTATTTATGAAGTGTTTTCATGTCACAGCAGTGTTTCCCCCCCCCTCCCCCCCAACACGCTGCACTCAGGAGCGCACACATGAATGCACTCGCCTGGCTGTACAGACGTAGTTCAGATGCAATACAGACGCAGTACAGACGTAGTACAGACGTAGTACAGACGTAGTTCAGACGCAGTACAGACGTAGTTCAGACGCAGTACAGACGCAGTACCGACGTAGTAGACTTGTGATCCAACAACATACCTTCAGTCAATATGTTTTTTATGTATATTATATTCTAATTTTTTTTTAAAAAAAGGAATAATAATGGACACATGTCCAATCATGGTTTCATGAGTTCCAGCCATTTTTCTAATTTTTTTTTTTTTGTTCCACTCTTACTGTGTGAACTATATTATTTTACAGGGACCTCGGTTTGGGTGCATCGGATTTGTTTACATTTATGTTCATGAAATGTTCAAGTCAACCCTGATGCTCTTCATTATTTGAGTACAGAAATAGCTCAGCGGCGCAGATTTTTCTGAAGCGGCCTCTGCTGCGTATAGTTATTAATAGACCCAAGAGTCCATCTGTTGCAACCACATATCAGACAGAGAAAAATACAGAGGCCTGGACTTTATCAACAATTCCCTGAAATACTGTCACTGAGACGTCAGTGGATCAGCAGACGAACTGCTGCTGCTGCTGCTGCTGCTGCTGCTGCTGTGAAGAGACTGATATCAGAATTATAATCCTGCTCTTTTTATTAGGCGGCTTCTCCACGGTCATTATTTCATGTAATTCAATAAGATTCCCTGGATCAGAGTGAAAACCTCAGTGCCTTCGACCGACTGATCGTCAAAAATAGATGTTTCTTTTCTAAGAAATGTCTTTTTCTTTCATGTCTAAGAAGCTGCCCCCTGTGGAGTTCCCAGCCTGAAGGGTCCAAATTAGAATTTAAAAAAAAAACATGCTGACGGTCTTGGTGCTGAAGTGTGTCTTTGTGTTTGTGTGACCACAGGGTTCGGCCGACTCCTACACCAGCCGTCCGTCAGACTCTGATGTGTCCTTGGAGGAGGATAAGGAGGCAGTGCGCAGAGAAGCAGAGCGACAGGCTCAGGCTCAGCTGGACAAAGCCAAGGTCAGTAACTGCATCTAAACTTTTGGGTCAGCCCACTGGTCAGCACACTGGTCAGAACACTGGTCAGCCCACTGGTCAGAACACTGGTCAGCCAGTATCTCCAAACTGCTCCCTGTCCATCCTGGTCACCACCAGTAAAGATCTCAGCATCTCCATCTCCTTCACCTCCATCTCAGCCTGTCTGTCTGTCTGTCTGTCTGTCTGTCTCTAAACCAGATGTCATAGCAGGTCTCACTACTGTCCTAATAATCCTGACCTTTCAACTTCCCTGCTAATCTTCTGTCACGTATCTTAACTTATCATCGAGACAAACTCTTGTCTTCAAAGGTGAAATATATTTGTGATTTTGACTCAGGTGTTTTACCAGTTCACTAATTCCAAACTAACTACATGTTTGTTGTTTAGAAACAGAAACAGAAATGGTTTCGTATCAGAGACGATGTGAACGGTTCCGGGGGCCGTCGTAGGATCAACATCTCTGTTTACTGAGCCTCGCCCGCTCTGCTCTGCTCCGCTTAGGGCCACAATTAGCCGTGTATAAACAAACACACACGGCAGACCGGGCCAAGAGGAAGCGCAATCAGCCCTGGCTTTGACATAATCACTCAAATCAGAGGCGACGATAAGATTCATGCCTTTGATCAGTCGAATCAGTTTGCTATCTTTGCTCCACGTTGTTCCTTCCCTCCTGTTTTACAGCTGATTTTTGAACTTTGACCCATTTTACAGTCGTTAAATCATTTGACCTCACACCAAGAAAAAATGCTCTTCTATTTGATTTGTTTTTCCATCTACAGCCAGTTTGTTTATTTATTTATTAGCTCCAGGCTCAGAGCGCACGGCTGTCCATCCATTGTTGAAGATGTTTCACAAGAGGGCGCTCTTTTATTTTCCAGAGTCGCCCCCTTTTTACAGCGCTCTAATTAAAAAGATAAGTTGGCTTTATAGATAACCTGCCTTTGATGACCCATCATGACTGGCATTTCATGAGACAGACGACTTGTTAAAATAAATAAATAAATAAATACCACCTCTCCGTGGTCTGGACAGCAGAAACGGAGCAGGTCGGGGTCAGAGGAAGTGCACACTCTCACTGTGCCGCCTTTATGGGCAGTAATTCTCCACATGCTCCGTCACACACTGCTGATGTTTGACAGTAACAGCTTTGATGTCTGCTCTCATCGTTATTCAGCTTCATATATAAAAGCGCTGAACTCCACCAGCTGCCTGTAAACAAGTCGGACGGCAGCTTTTGTTTTCACACGTCCGTCGGAGGATTTTTAAAGGATGTCGCCTGTCATTAGAAAGAAAAAAAAAATTAAGAGGGAGATTCCCCTCTTAGCAGCTAATAATACATTGCGGCCTGAAGGTAGAGCCAGAATTTATTTTCTATCGATCTGCATTCAAGGTGAAACAATGTGCGTGGACCCTGAAGTGTGACACCTAGAGGGCGCTGTTAATGGAGACGCTGTGGCGTGTTGTACAGCAGCACCAGCAGGTGTTCACTTAGGGGACTCCGAGGTGTGTTTTCATTTTTTAAAATATTCAGGATGTTGTTGATGTTGATGTTGTTGTTATTCACACTACAGCCACTGGGGGCAACAGCTCAGCTTCTCAGTGGCAGCTTTGTCTTGGTCTGACCCTCAGACCACCTCCTTTCACCTCCAACCTCTCACTACGCCCTCTTCTCACTGCTCTCCTACCATTTGTGTCCTTTTTCATTCTCTTTATATACCCCCCCCCCCTCACTCGCTGCGGTCTATATGTGATCCATAACAATGAGTTACATGTTACATAACAGGCAGCAGATGTACAACAGACACACACACACGTACCAGGACCATATGGAATAAAACATGAAACTCCGTGTTTGCCCATTGGTCTGTGGATCTGCAGAAGGTCCAATGACGTCGTTTCATTGATGTACAGTGACCCAGGAGCACACACACAAACACACACACACACACACACACACTGCTGCGTCCTCCACTGGTCCCAGCTCTGCCTGTACAGTGTTGGATAATCACCGCAGTCGTAGTGGAGCTACGTCCGTCCACCGTCCATAAAATATTTACGTTTCTCTCCCACGTGTTTCATTTCCATGATCCCTCAGTGCAGACACGTCACACCTGCTTGTGTTTATCACTGATGGTCAAAGTGGTCTGATCTGAAATTCAGAAGTTTTCGTAAGTCGTTGATTTAACTTTGTTAGTTTGATCATTCGTCCGTTCGCTCGTTAACATTTCATGAAAAACAATCATGTGACCTCAAATGGTTATTCAGTGTGAAGGGTGCCACCTACAGGTGACGAGGTTCTGCTTCTGCTTGATTGAGATTTGAACCTCCTCTGAAGACTGCTGCTGTTTTTTGTTTTGTTTTTTTTGGGGTTTTTTTGGCACGGCTTCCAGTGCAGCGCAGGCCCGGCGGCC